CAGTTATAACCAGCACTGATTACTTTGTTTCTCAACTTTGATTGACTCTTTTCACATGCTTTTGTGCCAAAAGTATTTATATCTTGCGGAATTTTCAAGTTTATAATTAAAACTTGACAGGTTTGTTTATCTTAACACATATAGACGTAATGTTTGTATTATTACATAACTGTATATTCTTTTATTATCTAAAAAAAAAAAAAAAAAAAAAAAAAAAAAACAGATGTGTGAAGGTGTTTGAAGGCGATAATAATTTTGTTATTTTTTTTTTTGGAATGATATTGATCTTTTTCAGTATAATTACGAAGACCCGTATAGACAGCCTTCCTATATTTTTCCTATTTGTTTCACAAACCGGCTTTCAGATATTTATTTCTTTGAAAAAAATATTTTCAAACCATACCGAGTATAAACCCGTAAGAACGTATTATACGACAAGAAAACCCTTAAATTATGCATTATCTGACTTATATACCGTCAAAATATTATTTTTTGTAAAGATTTGCATGATTGGGTCCTATTTTACCGACCACACTAAAATGGGATATTATTTTCTGGTGTGTTCAGGTTTTAGTACTCCCCATGGCTCATTTATAATGTGAAATAAAACGCACTAATTGATCTAGATATGAACTTTAAAAATCATTATCCTGTTACAATACAAATATAACTATAACTGTTTGAAGCAAGACACAAACGAATTGTTATAGTGTATGAAAAATAAATACAGGTCACTTTGTATAACTTAGTTTATGAATGGAAATGCTATGTTTTTTCATCTTTTTTCACGACATTTACTGTGAAGGTACTTTTATTCGTGGGTATCGATTCTCGTTGATTTTCAAAATTTATTTGGTTCGTGAGTTTTTGAATTCGTGGATATTATTAGAGCATTTTAGTTTTAAATGGAAATTTTACATTTCGTTGGGAATTTGAATTCGTAGTTGAACCCAATCACGAAAACCACGAAAATTAGTACCCCACGAACAAAAGTACTTTCGCAGTATATCGCGGAAAAGCAGATTATTCTTCAACAGTTTTTAAAGAAACTATTCAGAATATTTGTTTTTTCCCTTTTTAGAATTAGCACGAAGAGAGCATGAAATCGGGATACAAGTATATGTAACACGAACAAAATCTAACACCCAGTTGTGTTAAATCTGGCTTGTTTTAAGGTTCATCATAACAAATAGACAAAAATGGCTGTATTTACATCTCAAAAACTACTCTGAGTACAGACTAACCTGTCCAGTTGAAAAGGTTTTAAGGCCTGGCATCCACTAGATATATAAAAGTTAAATGCATTTTGTGTTTGAGAAAGATAAAATATTTTTTGGATGCTTATTATTATTGCATTTTACACTTTGAAGAAAAGTCTTATAGTTGTTGAAACAATGACAAGGAAACGCCAAAAAATCAACACATTTCTCGGGCAATAATTCCAAAATAGGCGGGTTCCAAACTTTTTATTGTGCTGACTATTTTTACCCCTACAGTTTTTCTCTAATTGCTATAGATTTATACATACTAGCCAAAACTTTAGTATGTTCTATTTTAGACAAGGCAGCCATGTTGGTTGATCAACCAAGACAAAAATTGAAAAAAAAAACAATTGAGTTAACTTCATATAGATGAAGCAGACAAACTTTGGCTTCAATCCGTTGAACAATTTCAGCGGAGAAGATTTTTAAAGAAACGACAACGGTAGACGGAAACAAAGTGATGGCACTGACCTTCGAACAAGGTTAATATGCATCAACCAGTCATTTATTGAATGTTTTGTGAAACATCCTGACCAATACGTCCTTACCCACTCATATATTTCTCTGTTTTCAGACAAACAGTCTTTAACCCCGCCGCATTTTTGCGTCTGTCCCAAGTCAGGAGCCTCTGGCCTTTGTTAGTCTTGTATCATTTTTAATTTTAGTTTCTTGTGTATAATTTGAAGTTAAGTATGACGTCCATTATTACTGAACTAGTATACATATTTGTTTAGGGGCTGGAGTTTCTCGCTGCATTGAAGACCCATTGGTGGCCTTCGGCTGTTGTCTGCTCTATGGTCGGGTTGTTGTCTCTTTGACACATTCCCCATTTCCATTCTCAATTTTATTTTCCATCTTGATTAGATTGAAAAGAAATGTGCAACTTACGACAATAAAACATAAACACTTAAGACGATAAACATATGGAAATAATCATACTAGTGAGATATAAGGAGTGATGCATAGTTTTTTGCAGACGCCCTACTAGAAAAAGATAATTCATGACCCATCAACATAACAACTACTCGCCATTGATATATAATTCCTCTGTAAAATTGAACCCCATTGATATTATTGACATCCCCGAAAAGTGTGTATAAACCTTCAAATAGGAAGAAACCTCCGTCTTCAAGGTTAGCTGAATTCTACCTTAGAACCCCTTATAACTAGTTGAAAGCAAAACTTAGAGACCAGACTGTGTTATGCTTTCCAAATGAAGAATATCCAAGATGATGAAATAATGTATCTAATTATATTTTGGTTTTGGAAACAATACCATAAGTTATACAAAACTTTTTCCTCATTGATGAGTGTATCAATAACTAACAAAAACACAGCTGTGCGTGCATAAACAACGGACTCACCATCTGTTTCACTGTCGACCAAGATATATATATCAAACTGAATATGAATTTACTTCACCTTAACCAAAATATTGTGACTTAATAAAATTAAAAATCAAATATCATCATTTTTTAAAAAACTTGAATATATATATAAAACATTATTTCGTAAATGCTTTGAATAACAACTTATGCATTTCTATAAATTTAATTTAGACTGGAAGTGTGTGACGCAGGACAGATACGCAGCAAAAAAAAATCTCGGATAAATCTGCTAAAATTCCCATTACACAGGTCCAAAACAGTTGTATGGTGTCACTTGTATGCTAAAAATGATTTCCGATATTGTTTATTTATCGCAATGTCATTTTGTTGCTAAAACAATGTCCTATGATCCCGTTGTATGCTGGTATGATATTTTTAATCAAATAAATGTTAAGCCAGACAAAACTCATTTCATGCTTTTGATGGACATTTAAGGCCATGCATATGTTTATAATGATTTTGACAAAAAATGTGTTTGTCAAAGTAGTTGATTGAAAGGTTAGATTATCGACGTTTTGTTTATTCTATAAGGAGGAGAAAGCAGCGCAAGAAGGTGGAAAGCGCACGTAAGAGTTACTATTACTGTTGCTGTCAGACTCCTGCATTTCGCCTACTGCTTTCAATTCCAGTCTATAGTATGGACTGGTATCTTTTGTTATGGGTTGTTTAAGACTAACACGATAATTAGTATAATGTAGTTTTGAAGATCAAACCCGACAAATACATTGTATATACTCGTCTTTTAAATGAATGTGGTTGAAAAGTGTTTGAATTTTGTACAAAAGTAGCTTCTAAACAAACAGTAAGTACTAATGTGTTCAGAGCTCTGAAGTCTACTTTGAATTATATGCAGACCAAGTGTACATTTCTTACTTATTAACTTTGATGTTAATGTTTGTTTGATAAATATTTCAACCATAATTTACCTTACAGTTGAGAATGAAACATAAATCACAAACCTAGCACGAGGTTGTCCAAATAATTATGACGTCTTGAAAGACTATTTGTTTGCTGCGATTCGTAGGAAGACGTTACAACAAAAAGTTGAAAGATACTTTCATAACGTCATAATTATTTGGACTAGTCCAGAGGCATTTTGCAATGGGTCGACCGTGGAGAAGAAACAATTCCAGCTTCAAGGAAACTGTAAACAAAAGGAGAGGGAAAATATAAATTGCATAACAAACTGCGGACAGTTATTTTGCCGAATTAACACAAACTTCAGAGTCAGATGAAAAAGATAGGCAGAGGTAACAAGGTCGAAGGCAAACTGACGATGCCATGGCAAAATAAAAAACATAACCTATAGAACAACAAAAATTTTGTTCACGAAATAAAAATGCTTTCAGTAACATGTATTTGTTTTGAAAAAAGTAAAATCACAAAAATACTGAACTCCGAGGAAAATTCAAAACGGAAAGTCCCTAATTAAATGGCAAAATCAAATGATAAAACACATCAAACTGTCATTTTCCTGACTTGGCACAGGCATTTTCAAATGTAGAAAATAGTGGATTGAACCTGGTTTTATAGCGCTAAACCTCTCACTTGTATGACAGTCGCATCAAATTCCGTTATATTTACAACGATCGATGCGTGCACAAAACAGACATAATAGGTAAAATGATACATTGAAAGGTAAGTATTTAATTCACACTATGAACTAACCTTGGTTTCGGTTTCGGATTATGGTGAAGATATAAAAAATTTTTGCAGATGTGGCATAATTGCCAATGAAACAACACTCTACCAGAGACCAAATGACATGGAAATTAACAACTATAGGTTATCGTACAGTCTTGAGCAAAACCCATATCGTATAGTCAGCTATAAACGGACCCGAAATGACAAATGTAAAACAATTTAACGAGAAAACTAACGGCATGATTTATGTACAAAAGAATGAACGAAAACAAATATTATATACAGCAAGTATACTGAATTACAGGCTCCCGACTTGGAACAGACACATGTAAAATGCGGCGGGTTAAACATATTCAAAAAGCACAAAATTGTAGATTCCCATTAAATAAAAGCAACAGTAGTATACCGCTGTTCGAAATTCATAAATCGATTGAGAAAAAAACAAATCCGGGTTACAAACTAAAACTGAGGGAAACACATTAAATATAAGAGGAGAACTACGACACAACAGAAACACAACATTATAATGTAACACACACAGAAACGAACTATAATATAACAATGGCCATTGTCCTGACTTGGTACAGGACATTTTAAGAAAAAAAGGGTGGGTAGAACCTGGTGAAGCTGTGGCAAGGAGAAATTTGAGAGGCTTAATTACAAATGAGGTAACAAAATTATTAAAATTAATTTAGATACAATGCACTTCTCTTTGAACTTTATTTATTCAGAATTTTGTTATTTTTCATTATTATCTTATCAATTGATTGAGATGGAATACGAAAGAACTTTACAGACGTCAGTTTGATGACTTGTCAGCATTTCTGTTATTGAACTTGTACTTTCTGGTGCGCACGAATCAAACTGACAAAAGCATGACTTGATACCGGTGGCTGCAGATGTGAACCAAGATTGGTGATCGTCTTCTCTGAAAAAAAAAACAAAAAAAACAAAAGTAAAAACATATTCATTATCACTGTTTTGATCTCAGACATTTTTATCTATCTCGTATATGTGTACACATTTTTCTTTCGCCATGTCATTGCAGTTTTTTTTATTTCCACGACTCCCTTCTCACTAATATAGAGTGAACAGCCGGTATAATTTCCAATTCATCAAATTTCTTTACAAACATATTTTCTTCTTAAAAAAATAGTTTTTGTAGGCTTTTTTTTTTATTTAATCCACCCAGAATTCCGATTGAGTATCCTTTCCGTAAACAGATTTTATAGACATATGCTTTTATATCTACAAAGCTTCCAGGGAGACTCGGGAATAGAAATATGGTCTGTCCCTTTGATCTTCTTCTGACCGGCAGTTAAACTCTTGCCAAAGCGGGACGTCCGTTTGCCTGTGCGGGATGTATAAGTACGCAGCCACGTCCGGTCAGAATGGGGACGTTAAATCCAATACTTCGCAAAGAGAGAGCACCAGGCTATTTGCACGCTAAAAACCCTTGGAACAACTCTTTGGGTGGTACGAAAGTGTCCTGTTGCAAGTCAAAATATCTGTCTCTATCTAAACACATATGCAACTGATCAATTGACATTTACGTTTTATATATATGTGTATATCCTGTTTATCGAATACAAAGACTATCAGTACTGTTTTATTTTGGTAATGCATTTGTAGTATTATTGCTACGATGTAACAGGATAGACATAATCTATAAAATCACAATCTCAAAACTATTTCGTCATATTACGTCTTAACAAAGACAGAGAAGATAACAAAGGTGCATTCGAATTGTAATAAAAACAGACAATACCATTACCAAAATTAAAAATGACGAAAGGATAAACAACAATACACATTTAAAATAAATGAGATAGCATTCCACCGTTAGATTGTAGTTTCGCAATTTGGCTCTGAGGATTCTTCAAATATGAAAGCTAGTGTGCAATAAAATTCATTTTTGGATAGCTGTGATTAATTCAGCTTTCATATTGGGTTTATAGGACTATCAAGATTGTGTACAATATTTTAAAATGAACTGTTTTTTTTAATGGCAATCCGTATTTTCATATTCATACCAGACCAATGTTTTTTTTGTTTAATTTTGTGTCGCACGAATTTTGTGATTAAATTTTACGAAAAAATCAGGAGAAAAACACCAATTTTTTCTTTGATCATTTGGAAGATTATTGTCAATAGTTTCAGAAAACGTATCAATCAAAGGAATTGAAATTTTAATTTGAAACAAATTTATGGGGAATATGTGACATTTTCATTCCCCTTTTTGCAATATTTTATGGTAAATAAATGCAGAATGTTGCCATAGATACAAAAAAAAGGAATTATATTTTACCATTTTAACTTTTGAAAACAAAATTCATGGAAGATACTGATTACATACACATGCACATGTATGACACAAACAGTTGGCTTAATGTATTAGAAAGTCAGGAATAGAAAATGATTAAAAATTTTGAGGTTCACTTTTAATGTTATTTTCTAACTGCGGAGTGCTACCAGAGCAAAACAAACCTCAACCAAAAAATGGTTGTCGTTGGTTCATGTCTGTCTTATTTGTTTTTCGTTATTTGTTTTGTTATATTTTAGGCCGTTTGTTTTCTCAATTGAATTGTTTCATAATTTTCATGTTGGGGGCTTTTATAGCTGACTATAAGGTATGGGTTTTTCTCATTGTTGAAGGCCGTACGGTTGCATATAATTGCTTACATCCACTTCTTTTGAAAGTTGGTGGATAGTTGTCTCATTGGCAATCATACCTCATCTCCTTATTTTTATATAGAACTCATGTTCCGAAAGGGTAAGCAGTTTCTGCTCGACATGAGTCATATTTGATACAGATATTCAATAATGTCAACCAAACCATGATGGCGTCCGTAAACCTTACGAAGGGATTAACAATTTTAAGGATCCTTATATCCAAATAATATTATGTATCTTATCAGAAAATGAAAGCTTCTTACGTTTACAAAATATCTGTTTAAGAATACACCATAGAGACAGAAATGCAGTAAAACGAGATCCGTTAGTGGTGTCACTGACAAGAAGTATTCAAAATTGAATAGATAAATACATAATGCATTAAACGATAACGCACAAATCTATTTATTTCAAGAAATGTATATACACCAACCTTTACTTCTTGAAATGACAAATATACTTACGTACAAGTGAGCGGCGAATCGGGTAAATAGAAACGGAAATAATTCCAGTTAGCCTCAATACAACCCATAAACCCAATCTGTGCAACAGTGTTGTTGTTATAACATGTCAGTAGTGCTTTTAAATCTGTAATAGAAAATCAAGTATGGTAAGCAAAATTGTTATAAACGGTAACAGACAGAGAAGGTCTTCACTAAACGTCAAAATTATCCAAACGATTTATGCATTACAGATGCAATGAATAAGCGATGAATCAACGGTTATACATCGTGTCTATATCTTAAACTATTGTGTCGATATCTCTTAAATTAAAGCCTTTTCTTAAATAGAAGGTAGTGTAAGTGAGTTTAAATAACCCTGTTATCATGTTCTACAAATGCATTAATAACTCAAAATTCACAATTAATTGGTTAGAGAAATACAAATATAGTATAACACGTCTGTGTTTAAATTAATAAGCATCTGAATATTATCCGTAATGGACAAAAAAAAGACATATTCGAACTTATTTTTAAGTATATATAATAAGTATGTTACCGAAATTTCTAGCAAAAAAACTAAGTTCTAGGCACATCGCTATTTACTCGCAAAGGGATTTGCGAATGCACATTTGTGGAGACATGTTGTAAAACATATGAAATCATACTATTTATAAAACAAAAATGGACGAATTGAATGTAATCTTTTTTATTAACATCTGCACGTAGCAATTTTTTTATTTTCTATATTTACATGTGATTATCTAAGAGGCGCTTTTTGATTGGATGCAGCTAGTTACAACTGCGACCAATGGACATCATTACTTCGTGGATCCGAAATTCTTGCTTAATCTGCTATGAATGAAGAGTATTTGGCTTGGTCGTAACCCTTGGCGTGCGAAGATGGCATCTTGTTAGACATAATCAAGTGTATGGTGTTGTATTCCCAGCACCTTATGGCGGCCATATTGGATTTTTTTCATGACTCTATATCCAAAAAAGTGCATTGGTATCATAGCTAACAATGTGCTAAGTGCTATGATTTAAACATTAAGTGATCAATTATGCCAATATATTGGTCAAAGCTGCCTGACTATAAACTACCAGAGGAGAAAGTCATTATTTATTTTAAATTAACCAAAAACTACTATGATTTAGTGTCAAAAACTCTCTACATCAAATTAAACATAAAACGACAAAAAAATTTAGTTAAAAATTACCACTTCCGTTTATTTTTGGTCCCAATGCCGCTTCAAAATATGTTTCGCCTTGATTTTTTCTCTCATATAGACGCTACAATGATCCTAACGTTTTAAAAGCAAATGAGATAAATCGATATGTAAACGTCTAGTAAAAAATGGTAATACAGATATGCAGTTGTTGTGTCAGCTCATTGCCGTGGACAGGCAGATATTGAACAGACAGGGGTCAGATGTGATTCTAGTATTATGTTTGAAGACCAGTTCTATGAAGAAAAAAAAATCTTAGAAAGAGTGGTTCGCTCAGTCAGAATAAGTTAACTGAGTGGGTTGGCAGGCTTTTGAACAGCACATACATTGGAAGCTAGACTATCGAACAATAGCATATTGAAATTAACTTCTCTCTAATATTTCTAGGAACAGATATGTGAATACATACAGATATTATGATTTTTTCAACATGTATCATTTACCTATCATAATTATCATAATTCCTCTTGTACATCTCTCTGATTGAATGTAAAACATGTGTAGCCCCACCACATATTCATGTGGCTGTCCAAAGTCAGGAACTTCAGTAGTGATTCTCTGATTTTATATCATAATGTTTTTCCTATTTTGAATAATTTGATGTTGATGGCAGATCTTTAAGAGTTTCTGTTCGTTTATCCGCATTTGTTATCAACTCGGAACCATTTAGTGCATTACAAAAATACAAACCCAACATTTTGATCCATTTGAAATACATGTTAACGTTTTAATTACTATAATAGGTTCTTTTAAGGAGAATAAAAACCATCGATTGAGAAAAACAATGAGAATCTATCAATCGAAGGTAACATAAGACGTAAAAAACAAGGTTCATTTTTACAAGCATCGTTCACAATAATTTAGTTTTTATTGCAACTATTTGCAGTTATTAAAGAGTGTAAATGCTGCTTCCTTAATACATTAGGAATCGTATAAGAACACAAATAAGGATTTTTTTTTCAAAATAGTCTTTATGATACCTTTCTTATTCTCGTCATCACACACTGACATGGCAACGTTCTTTATATGCGGCATCATCTCAACATAGTATCTTGTTTGATCAGTATTGCACAAACTTCTCAAAGCTTCAATGTTGTTTTGGTAATATTGAATCACTTTATCAACGAAGCTGAAAAGAACATGGTAAAAATTTACTTAAGCAACAATAATTATATACATGACTTGATTATTTGATTTCTAAAAAGTTTTATATTTGAAACATTCCCTCATCAACTAGTTATGACTTCAATGATATACTCAGCTCAAGTGAGTATAATAAGTATAGGCGTAAGATGTGTATAGTGGCACCACGTAACCATTAAAGAATAATTTTCTCTACTAATCAGTTTCTCTTATCGACATTGCCTCACAAACAGATAAATTCCCTAGATATTCATTATCTGAACATGCAATGCATTTTTAAACGTTTAGAAAAAAACAATCAAGAATGTGTTTCCAGACAATTTAGATTAGTAGTACCAGAGATTCTGTAAACAAATCAGATCAAAATCACTGATAAACGCCCTGGGTTTGACGACTAGAAAACAAATGTAGTTGTAAATAAAGTAGGGAAAAATGAAAGTTTCCATCGGGTAAATAACCGACAAAAGAGATTTATACCAAAGGAATATTCAAGCTTATAAATTGAAGACAAAATGACAAAGCCATGAAAGACAACGTCGAAAATACAGTCCTCAAGATACAACATAGAATAGATATAAGAAGATGTGGTATGAGTGCCAATGAGACAACTCTCCATCCAAGTCACAATTAGTAAAAGTAAACCATTATAGGTCAAAGTACGGCCTTCAACACGGAGCATTGGCTCACACCGAACAGCAAGCTATAAAGGGCCCCAAAAATTACTAGTGTAAAACCATTCAAATAGGAAAACCAACGGTCTAATCTATATAAAAAACAAGAAACGAGAAACACTTATGAACCACATCAACAAACGACAACCACTGAACATCAGGTTCCTGACTTAGGACAGGTGCAAACAAATGCAGCGGGTTTAAACGTTTTAATAGGCGCCAACCTTCACCCAACCTGAAACAATAGTGTAACATCACAACATAAAAAGACACCCTATAAAATATCAATTGAAATGGCTTAACTCAATCAAAAGACATATTAACAAAAACAAGTGAACATACACTGAACGAATAAATTTGATCTATGACACAATGTAAATACAAAATTAATAAAACAAGGTGGTTAGATTTAACCTAGAAATCTAGAGGGCCATAATCAATGACGTTTAATTAGATAGCAGTCAGGGGATCGTGCTTACGTCATAGGTTACAAGCTGAGAAAATATCTTAAACTAGACGATATTGATCACTTTTTGTGCACAATTACACGATGGACGGTATTGACAGTAGTTTTCCCGATTACTGTCAAACTAAAGACAATTAACCTCATCAACTTGAGCTTTTGAGTGCGGAAAATAACTAAGAAAATAGACATTAATTCTTCATGCGAAGAGTCCAACGATTTTTCAGTCAATACCGATCGGCTTGTTGCCATACATATGGTTTCGTCTGATGAATAAACTTTACAAAGCGCTGTCTGCCGTTTTTTCCAAATAAAGCTACTTTCCGTCATGATCGATAGTATACATTTCTAATTATTGATGATCAAATAGTCCGTTTTTTTCCTGTTTCAGTAACGTTATAGGTGTGCACTGTAAGCAGAAAAAAAGGTAGTAATAGTCAAATTAGGCGTTCGCAAATGATACTTTTTGATTTTATTTATTATTTTTTTTTGTTACGGAAGGACTTTTAACAGTTATGAATAATCATCAAAATTTATGCATCAATTTATATATATATATATATATATATTGGTTGGAAACCATTCATCATACTTGGACATTTACGACTTTTATCTTCTGCATTTGAAAGATTTTTGTCTCACAGTTGAATATACAAGACACATTTGTATTGCTTTGGGGAGTCTCCAAATAACAAATTTGTTATCTTTTCCCCATTATGTCAACATATATTGGAGGCTGTTGTTTTAGTGATTAAATTTTTACACCTATAGCATGTTTTACCAGGTGAAGGGTAATAAGGCACCTGTAGTGATTTTGATTTGTTTTTTGGTGTTTTAACGCCACTTTTAAGCACAGCTTTTGGGCTATTTCGTGGCGGCCAGTTTTTATAAGTGGAGGAAACCGGAGTGCCCGGAGAAAACCACCGAACTTCTATAGGAAAACTGATAATCCTAGTCAATTAAGATTGGAGTCGAGTGCACCCGCACGAGCGGGGTTCGAACTCACAACCTCAGTGTTGACTGGCTAGTGATTACAGTAGAAACTACTTAGACCACTCGGCAACCGAGGCCCCGGCACCTGTGGTGTAAATTAGTCACGTGTAATATTATTTACCTGTAAAAATCATACATTTTAAAGTAAAATGTTTAATGGTGAAACTATTAATATTGTCATACTACATTTTATAAAATATCAGCCTATGGAAAGTGCAAATCGAGAAAACCGTTTCGTATGTGGAGTCGCGATTTTTTTCAAATATGAAATTTTAAATATGTAGACACTCCAGAAAAAGATGATTTTTGCATTAAACAAAAATTAGTATTAAAATTTATAAATACGTTCAGACCGAAATTAATTCATGCAACAAACAGAAGAGATTTGTGTTTTACCATTTTTCAATAAAGTGTGAAATCCATTATTATCAGCCTTTCAAGGTCGTTTTTAATGAAAACAGTCAAATTGACCAGTTAAACAAGCACAAATATTTAAACAAAAATTAAGTCTTCAATATCAAAGTAATAGCAAAAGTTTATGTCCTTGTAAAAGTTCCACTGCTACGTTTTTCTTTTGTAAATAGATAATTGAATGCCATTTATTTCATTGTAGATGCGACATTTTATAATGTAGTTGCGGTATGTTTTATTTGATGCAAATGCATATTTACTTGTATAAATACAACATACTTGGGATAAAATGTTCAAAATACATGGCAAGTTGCATATACGTTTGTTCTGTTAAATACGTCTATGTTTTAAAAAGAATAAACAAGTACTTTTCAGATGAATTTGCATTTTACAAATGTCAAAAGTCGTCTGAGATTTCCCAACAATGCATCTCATTTACAAAAGAAAATATCGCTACTCCACATAAGAAACGGATTTCTCGATTCGCACTTTCCATAGACTGAGTATGCAATTCCACCCAAACCCTTGTGAATCCGACTCCAAATTATAGGCAAAGTAAAATTAAATTCACATTTTCACCCTCTCTAAGTCATTTCTTGGAAAACTTTACGGACGTTATCATTTATTTAGATGACAGTTATGGAATGTTTATATCACAGATGACCACGGGTATTTTCAACATGCCTTAGCCAAAGTCCACAATCCCGCCCTTTTTTTTCAATTGTAACATCATTAAATGCGACTTAACACGACGAATGCAACGACTATTGGAGGAAGAACTGCCGTCCCTTCCGGTGCACTTAAGTTCACCTGCAGTTTTTCGTTGGGGTTTTCTAATCTTTTGTGGACTTTATTATTTTTTTGTTTTTTCATATCCATCTTCTGATTTGTGTAATAAAAAAAAAAAAGTTAATTTTATTTTAAATACGAAAAAAACTTATATTTCAGGCGTTTTCCCAGTATTGAACCAGCACATTTTTTTCACAATTCATGTTTGTTAAGAATGTCGATTTCCTCCAATCAAGTACTGTTTATTCCTATTTTAAGTACATAGGTAATCACAGTTTCTCACAAATGCTTTAAAGGTACTGAAAATATCTTAATATTGACTGTTTGGGAAAATGGCTGTTCCTATTAATGCGACATTAGTTTACCAATGTGCAAATCTCGGAAATTGATTTGGAAGAAACAAAACAAGGTAACAAACAAAAACCTGAGGAATTCGCATGAACTCAAAAAGGAATAAGTAGACTCAGTCAAAATGTCACAATCGGGAGTAGAACACAATAGGTAAAATTACAGATCAGACGACTTTACTGATATCTAAAGATCTAAGACCGTGAAAACCTGTCGCTAGTAAGTTGAGACACAGGCTCACACTATTTTTCGATTAATTTGTGATGGTGACTATAAAACTTATGAAGTGTTGATTTCAGTCGTCAGAAATATTGCAGTCGTTTTGCAGTCGTACCGTAGATTGATATAGTTGAACGCTTGGTTCAATCAGCTTTTATTGACTAACCCTGTGTACGATTCGTTCCAATATAAATTTTATACATTCGGCTTGAAACTCTTTATGTCTTTTTTGTTTGTGTTATGGTATATTAATTAATCAAATATAAAATTGCTAATCAAGTGAATCAATAAACTGTAACCATTAATTCTGGATTTGACATAATTGTACATATCATGAGGTATTCTTATCATAAAGAACGGAAGAAACATAGAAACCGATATTTTCTATAAACCAACTGATTCCAAACAATATCTTTATCATTTTACATCATGTTATCCTAATAATACTAGAGTAAACATAACATTTGTCCTAGCGAAACGCATATGTACAATAATTTCAAATCCAGAATTAAGGGATACAAGATTAAATGAATTAAGATACATGTTTTTAAACCGAAAATATCCGAAGAGAATAATCGATGACGGTATTACAAGAGCGAAATCTATTAGCTTACAGGAATTAAGAAAAACTAAATCACATTAAAAAAAAACGTTTTACCGTACATTTCAACTCACAATATCAGAAATAATGAAGCGTTCAATACAATACATAATAATTTACCATTTTTACAGAGCGATCAGAGAATGTTGAAATAATTTAATTTGCATAATGTAATCAAAAGCAAACGGCAACCGAAACCGTTGAAAAAGTTGATGACTTGCGCCACATTCCAATCTGAAAATATTTAACAAAAAAAAAAAAAAATGTGGACGACCAAACTGTGAATCTTGTTTATACTTATCCGAAGGAACAGAATTCGTTTTTACATCCGGACACATGTCTAAAATCAAGAACAGTTTTACATGTGCATTGGAAAACCTTTTTTATATCATAACTTGCAGTGGTTGCCAAGAAAATTATATTGGACAAACCAACAACACCATTAGTACATAGACAGCAAATTCGAGCCCCTTGTACAAGATAAATGACACTTAGAGAATATATTAATTTATGCGCTGGATCAAATCATCCAAATTTCTTTATGTTTCAATTTTATCAGTGATCAGACAAAACAATGGACCAATGAGATTAATAAAGAAATTTATTTCATTAAGAAATACCATCCAAAATTAAATCGATAAAATGAGAATCCGAAGGCTACTTCAAATTGTTACTTTTACTTTCGTTTTAAGAACCTACGTTGTACTATATTATGACATTCGGGATCTAATAATGATGTCACTAATAGGTGTTATTCCCGAAGACGTCCAAGGCAACTATATCCATGAATATCTGTGAAACAGTGAAACCGGTAGAAATTTATTGCGAACATTTTAGAACAATTTTATGTTTTAATCGACAAATTGTGATTATTAATATTGAATATAAATAAATATATATATACAAGTCTAAATTGAAAACAACGTTCAAACCTATGATTGCGTTGGATAAAAACCGCAATTTTTATACGTGTGCATGCAAAAGAAATTTCTTGGTAGAGGGGTCTAAATACAGCACAAACAACATTTTCCGAAAGACCAAAAAAGTGAAAAAGTATATATCAACAAAACGCATTTGACTAGCAGGTCGAACAACAGATGTTTTTAAATCCTGCTGACTGCCATGGCGAATGCCAAATAAACGGATCACAGATGTAACAAAATGGATCTTAATTATTAATTTAATTCAATAAATTTGCGTAAAAGATGGTATACCTTAAAAAAATGAGGTGCAAAAGTTTGTACACCATATCCGGATTTCGACAAATAATGTCTCTTCAGTGATGTTAGGAATCGAAACGGTATTTGGAAGGCCATATAACTTACCTCAATTAAGGATTGACTCTTGAATTTTGAAGAGTCGAAATAGGATGAACGTATCATATAAACCCAAAGGCAAATTTAATACAAGCCCAAACGAAAAAATATAAACAAGTCTAAATTAAAAACAACGTTCATACCTAAGATTGCGATAAAAACCGCAATTTTCATACGTGTGCATGCAAAAGAAATTTCTTGGTAGAAGGGTCTATATACAGCACAAACAACATTTTCCAAAAGACCAAAAAAAGTGAAAAAGTATATTTTAACAAAACGCATTTGACTAGCAGATCGAACAACACATTTCCTTATACCCTGCTAACTGCCATGGCGATTGCCAAAAAAAGGGATCACAGATGTAACAAAATGGATCTCAATTATTAATTTAATACAATTTTACTTGCGGAAAAGATGGTATACCGCAAACATGAGGTGCAAATGTTTGTACACTTTATCCGGATTTTGACAATTAATGTCTCTTCGGTGATGTTAGGAATCGAAACGGTATTTGGAAGGCTATATAATTTACCTCAATTTGGGATTGAATCTTGAATTTTGAAGAGTCAAATTGGATGAACGGATCATATAAACCCGAAGGCAAATATAATACAACCCAAAACGAAAAAATATAAACAAGTCTTAATTGAAAACAACGTTCAAACCTATGATAGCGTTGGATAAAAACCGCAATTTTTATACGTGTGCTTCCAAAAGAAATTTCTTGGTAGAGGGGTCTAAATACAGCACAAATAAAATTGAGAATGGAAATGGGGAATGTGTCAAAGAGACAACAACCCGACCATAGTGCAGACAACAGCCGTAGGCTACAAATGTGTGTTCAATGCAGCGAGAAACTCCCGCACCCGGAGGCGTCCTTCAGCTGGCCCCTAAACAACATTTTCCAAAAGACCAAAAAAGTGAAAAAGTATATTTTAACAAAACGCTTTTGACTAGCAGGTCGTACAACGGATGTTCTTAAACCCTGCTGACTGCCATGGCATTGCCAAAAAAAAGAGATCACAGATGTAACAAAATGGATCTTAGTTATCAATTTGATACAATAAACTTACGGCAAAGATGGTATACCGCAAACATGAGGTGCAAAAGTTTGTACACCATATCCGGATTTCGACAATTAATGTCTCTTCAGTGATGTTTAGAATCGAAACGGTATTTGGAAGGCCATATAATTTACCTTAATTTGGGATTGACTCTTGAATTTTGAAGAGTCGAAATAAGATGAACAGATCATATAAACCCGAAGGCAAATATAATACAAGCCCAAACGAAAACATATAAACAAGTCTAAATTGAAAACAACGTTCAAACCTATGATTGCGTTGAATGAAAACCACAATTTTTATACCTGTGCATCCAAAAGAAATTTCTTGGTAGAGGGGTCTAAATACAGCACAAACAACATTTTCCAAGAGACCAAAAAAGTAAAAAAGTATATTTTAACAAATGCATTTGACTAGCTGGTCGAACAACGGATGTTCTTAAACCCTGCTGACTGCCATGGCGAATGCCAAATAAACGGATCACAGATGTAACAAAATGGATCTTAATTATTAAATTAGTACAATAAACTTGCGGAAAAGATGGTATACCGCAAACATGAGGTGCAAAAAATTGTACACCATATCCGGATTTCGACAATTAATGTCTCTTCAGTGATGTGAGGAATCGAAACGGTATTTCGAAGGCCATATAATTTACATCAATTTGTGATTGACTCTTGAATTTTGAAGAGTCGAAATAAGATGAACGGATCATATAAACTCGAAGGCAAGTATAATACAAGCCAAAACGAAAAAATATTAACAATTCTAAATTGAAAACAACGTTGAAACCTATGATTGCGTTGGATAAAAACCGCAATTTTCATACGTGTGCATGCAAAAGAAATTTATTGGTAGAGGGGTCTAAATACAGCACAAACAACATTTTCTAATTGACCAAAAAAGTGAAAAAGTATATTTTAACAAAACGCATTTGACTAGCAGGTCGAACATCGGATGTTCTTAAACCCTGCTAACTGCCATGGCGATTGCCAAAAAAACGGATCACAGATGTAACAAAATGGATCTTAATTATTAATTTGATACAATAAACTAGCGGAAAAGATGATATATCGCAAACATGAGGTGCAAAAGTTTGTACGCCCTATCCGGATTTCGACAATTAATGTCTCTTCAGTGATGTTAGGAATCGAAACGGTATTTCGAAGGCTGTTTTATTTACCTCAATTTGGGATTGACTCTTTAATTTTGAAGAGTCGAAATAGGATGAACGGATTATATAAACCCGAAGGCAAATGTAATGCAAGTCTAAATTGAAAACAACGTTCAAACCTATGATTGCGTTGGATGAAAACCGCAATTTTTATACTTGTGCATGCAAAACAAATTTCTTGGTAGAGGGGTCTAAATACAGCACAAACAACATTTTCCAAAAGACCAAAAAAGTGAAAAAGTATATTTTAACAAAACGCATTTGACTAGCAGGTCGAACAACGGATGTTCTTAAACCTTGCTGACTGCCATGGCGATTGCCAAAAAAACGGATCACAGATGTAACAAAATGGATCTTGAAAATATTTGAAAATACTTGAATTGAATGAATTCTCACCTACAATAATCATCTACGATATTTTCATCGAAATAATACAACTGCGAATTCCTATTTATATGTATATAATATCGAATATCTGGTACTGTCTCCTTTGAAGAGAATTCTTCTACAATTTTCCTGAAGTCTATCTATACATGTTTGTGATGGAAGAGGTGGAGGTACTGCTTTGGCAAAACCTACAATGAGAAGATATGCAGGTGTATATGCGATTACATGTTATCACTTGTTACCACTCTATCACTTCTAACGTTGTGAGACTTTCGCCTTGTAAATGTATGATAACGTTTTTTTGCCCCTATTACAAATACACTTGATTGTAGCACGTTGTGAGTACGGGTTTACTAATTAGCGCCTTATAAATTCTTCATTTACTAAGAAAGACATATTCGAAACATTTCTTTTTTCAATGTAAATTGCATCGTTTAATCCCGATGACTATCCTCTTTCTTCTCTTTGTTATTTTATTTTTTTCAACACATTTACCTGGTAGAGGTTGTTATTTTTATTGTCCTCTCAAGTTATTACCCTGCTTAAGGATGTTATCTTAATGTCCTACTCAATCATTTACCTGCTGCAGGTTTTACTTTAATTGTCCTCCCAAATCTTTTACCTGCTACGGGTTATTTCATTGTCCTACCAACTCATTTACCTGTCCTTGTTCGTTATTATATGTTCTTTTTATCATATTATTCTCTCCAATGATTTACCTTTTGCAGGTTGTTTTTTTATTGTCCTTTTATAATCATGTACCCACTACAGCGGTTTGTTATTGTATCGCCTATCAAATCATATACCTGCGACAGCGAATTTTATTGTATTGTACTCCAAAATCATGTACCTGTTACAGGTTGTTATGTTACTACATGTATACTCCCAAATCACTAACCTGTTGTCATTTTATTTTATCGTCCTACTAAATCTTGAACCTGCTATAGGTTGGTATTTTCTTTTATTGTCCTGCCAAATTATTTACCTGTTGCAGATTGTTATTTTATTTTATTGTCGTACCTTATATTGTACCTGCTACAGTTTAGTATTTTATTTTTCTTGTCTCCAAAATAATTTACCAGCTGCAAGTTGTTATGTTATTGTGTTGTCAAATCATTTACCTGTTACGGGTTGTTATTTAACTTATTGTCCTACCCATTCATTACCCCTTTTCAGGTCTAAAAGTATCACTTTAATTAAATCAACTTTATCAAACTTCCCAAACAAATTCAGTAACGTGCTTATCGTGCCTTTACCATCACATTTTTCCTTACTTAAGATAACAGTAAAAAGTTTTAGATAGAAAATTTATCTTTAAAAGAATTTCAAAGTATATTCTCTGGTGCGAGTTGTCTTTACTTATATATATATATATCTTACTACTAAAACAGAGATAGTTGCTACCGATTATAGCCCAATATAAACGTTAAATATCGGGTATAGAACATACTCGATAGTATTACAGATCAGACGACTGAAGATCTAAGACCACAAAAAAGATGTCGCTATTGAGTTAAGACACAAACATATCGTATAGATCAACAAACTCGTGATTGTGACCGTAAACATTATGTAGTATCGATTTCAATCGTTCTTTCTCATAATTTTATTGGAGCATTTTTTGTGTAAAGAGTACACCCCTGTTAATGAAATCAGAATAGCGTGAACAAGCATGAGCCTTACGTATTAATAGAGATAAGTAAACGCCATACGATGGTGCGAAAGGTATGTTACTGCTTCGAAATGGGAAGTTGAAATTTGGAAAGTTAACATCATAACGTTTGTTATAGATTCTAGTTTGACTTCATCTATTTGTGTGAATTTCTTTGAAAATATCAAAATATTAAGCAGCCCTTCTCGGTTAGGTAGTATCCTTAATCCCATGTTCACTGAAATATAACATGCACACAGTCACTGAAATGTGGGTTACCAAATGACAGGATATCATCAATACATGTATATATGAAAAATGTTTTTGTTCTTTTTGTCTATGAGAAGTTTTTGTATGAGTTCTGCTTCATATGGGTCAAGTAGAAGTCGGCTAACGGGATGCACAGTTAGCACCCATTGGAATGCCGACTGTCTGTTGTCAAAACAACCGATCAAAAACATAAATTTTGCTAACGACTACTGCTCTTTTGGAGAAAATTTTAAAAACAACTCCCTTTTTAAGGTTTAAATAAGTGTTATCTTTAAGTTTGAACACATCTGGGCAATTTTCAAGTCTAGACATTAGTTCGCAGCTTGCCATCTTCATTTGTATTCCTTGACCTTTTGACAACAGTTAATTGTCAACCGGTGACTTTATCATGAATTCCTTAAGGTAGCTAAAACGTATTTTTTTAAGGATTTTGGCAAATTTTGTGTTCCTGTTTGTATTTAACAAAAACCAAGTTCTGCTTGAAGTACATGTTGTCCTGTTACACCACTGTCCAAGGTTAGGAGAGGGTTGGCGCTTTCAAACTAGTTTAATCCCGCCACATTCTTTATGTGCCTGTCCCAAGTCAGGAGCCTGTAATTCAGTGGTTGTCGTTTGTTACTGTGTTACATATTTGTATTTCGTTCATTATTTTGTACACAAATTAGGCTGTTGGTTTTCTCGTTTCAATTGTTTTACGTTTGTCATTTCGTAGCCTTTTATAGCTGACTATGCGGTTTGGGCTTTGCTCATTGCTGAAGGCCGCATGGTGACCTATAGTTGTTAATTTCTGTGTCATTTGGTCTCTTGTGGAGAGTTGTCTCATTGGCAATCATACTACATCTTCTTTTTATATATATTTAAAGATATAGATAAGTCTAAATTGAAAACAACGTTCAGACCTATGATTTCGTTTGAAAAATCCGCAATTTTTATACGTGTGCATGAAAAACAAATTTCTTGGTAGAGGGGTCTAAATACAGCACATTACTTTGGGACCGAAATACAATAACAAAAATACAATATGCAAAAACCATGCGTATACAAATTTTAAATAGAAAACAAATGTGGACAGAGCACTGACGTAAATATAGGACTGATTAATATTAATCTGAAATATAAGAACATAAGAATGTTTCTCAATCTTACATTCAGTTTTGCATCTGAAGGTATCTTTAACAGATGACATTTCTGAAGAAACTGGTCTACTATACGTTTCTGTTTTATGACAGCTTTCAGCCTTATTAGAAAAGTTTTTTTTTTACATAAATGTCAATTGCCAAAGTAATCAAATATCTGTTTACACATATAAGATCCATTTAACATTTAAATTATATTTTGCGAATATATGATGTTGAAATTTATACATAATATCGAACTTTTTTATTTGTTTTCCAAAAATGGAGATAATTGCAGTTAATATATATGCATCAATTGACTAGCGATAATAAAGTTAGGTGTCGATGTTGTCATGCTTGGAAGGCTGTAACAGAACTTTTTCTAAAATGTAATTTATTAAAATCACCGTACGGCCTTCAACAATGACTAAAACCCATATGTACAAAACAATAAACAAATAACAAGTATGTTATTCACCAACAAGCGACAACAGCTGAATTACAGGCTCCCGACTTGTGACAGGAATATTTTATCAAAATGCCTTCATCAGTCACTAGAGCTATGGATACATCTCATAGAAATATATAAAAGTCTTTTACGTATATGATATAGATATTTTCATATTCAAATTCCAGAATAATAAATCAACCTGAAGATTTCGACCCTGGTGATAAAATAAGGAAAGGGACAAAATGACATTCGTCCCTATTTACATTTTTTTAACGTCTTTCAAAGTACCGAACATAGAAACATTCTATCTGAAGCTTTTGATAAAAAAAGAACAGTATAATAGAAAACTAAACAAAACAAACCTATGGTAGTTTACCATATGTTGAGCCCACTAGTCCGTTTCAGCTTTATAAATTTTCAAAAATATATTATCAATTAGTTTCTTATATTGCTATGTATATTTATCTATGTAGTATTTACTAATTCGGACAAAACCTTTCAGAATGTTTGTAATTAGAAAGTTGTACGTGAGGTTCTATGATAAAAAAAAAGGTTGAACAAAGTGAAAAAATGTTACGGATTGAATGTATTGACCGTAACAGCAACTTATCACGTGTTTTATTTTTAGACAAAAAAGAATTAAAACATTTATGGCGATCTCCTTGGTCACTGGTCTTTAATTTATATTTGATTGAATAGAAATGCAAAGGACTAATTGAATGGTTGTTGTGATGATAAGCTGTATCCCCTCTCTATAGGTTTAATTGTGGAATACAAATTTACTATCTTTGATGACGTTTTACTATCGGAAATAAATTGCCGACCTTTTTTATTCATTGACAAAACAAAACAAAACATAGTTGATACATCAATTAGTAAAATATGGGATGTAAATTCAACTACCACATTATAAATTTGAAAAATTAAAAAATAAAATAAAAGGTCAAAGTATCAATAACTTCTGCAATGTTAACACTCATTAGTTAGTGGAATAAATGCAGCGATTAAAAGACGTCGGTATATTTTCTTGTACAAAAATAAATTATGATGGTAAGTTTTAGTAAATTATTTTTCAAGATTTATAGAACTGAAATGAAATGAAATTTTGACGCATTTCTCACCTCTTTTTATTAAACTAAAAGAAATACAAATGAAAACAAACAAAATGAAAAAAATAAAATAAAAAGTAACTTACATGCTAACATCAAAACCAACAATTTAACAAAAGACATCATCTTTGAACTATAAAACATCTATCTTTGTTGAGTATCCTCTTATAAGGGGATGTATATATACTGTTAAACGAATCAATTACCTCAAATTTAAAACTAAACTGTGTATAGAAAATTTGAAATTAATGGCACTTATAGCAATGATAATAATCGTTAAATTACTATGACATTTGACTATATGTTAGTACACAATATTAATGATGATGATGATATAATAACATCGAACAGTCAACAATCGGAGAGTTGATGTTTCTTTGTAAATTTCAACTTTGTACTTGTTTGGCTTTATAACTATTTTGATCTGAGTGTTACTGATGAGTCTTTTGTAGACGAAACGCGCGTCTGGCGTATTAAATTATTTTCCTGGTACCTTTGATAACAATTATTAAACAATTTTTTTATTTTCTCCATATGTAACTGCAGGTGTATGACTGAGGCATCATAACTCGATGTAGACTCAATCAAAGTAGGTTTTAAGCTACAGGACAAAACTGAGATTCCATCATAATTTATTTGTGTGCATGAACCACAGACTAACATCTTTTAATCGCCGCATTTATTCAATTCACAAATGGGTGTTGACATTGCAAAAGTTATTGATAATTTGATTTTTTTTAAATAATAAAAGGTGAGAAGGTATCACGAAACAAAAACATTCATTGGTTTAAGAAAAAACAGATAAAAAACATTGCGAAAAGAAGAACAATCAAACAATGAATGTAATCCTGATCCGACAAACCAGCAGCAAAATGTACGAGTAAAATTAACAATACGTTTGAAGGTAGTCCTGAGTCCGAGTAAAAGCAGACATATAATGACACATAATATGTATGAAGGTAGTCCTGGTTCCAGATACAATAGACAATTGCTTGTAATAAATTGGAACATAACTAATAAAATTGAGAATGGAAATGGGGAATATGTCAAAGAGACAACAACCCGACCAAAGAGCAGACAACAGCCGGAGGCCACCAATGGGTCTTCAACGCAGCGAGAAAATCCCGCACTCAGAGATGGTCCTCAGCTGGCCCCTAAATAAAATTGTGTACTAATTCAGTGAAAATGGACGTCACACTAAACTCCAAAACATATAAATGAACTAAAATTAAAAAACATACAAGACTAACCAAGGCTAGAGGCTTGTATTGCTATGCATTTATGCAAAATTTATGATCCTAAATCTGGTCGATATAATGCACTTATATTATGGCATTGCACATGGGTATGCTTTTCGCAGACTTTTAATGTCATCTTTACACTAAATCTGTTGGATGTGTACTGACTGATACTGTCTGGGAAACATGATTTATGTATTGGTTGTTAATGGCTTTGAACTAACTTTCAGTAACTGCGAAAACTCTTAGATTGGTACTTTGTGTCTTTTTTTCCCCTTTATATTAGTTTCTTGTTATACGTGCCAATCTAACTATCCAATGTTAAAAGGGGGTGATGATTCTTAATATATTTGCATACAAAAGTGTATTAAAATTACATTTTTATGCAATCTGTAATTATATGTGTGTAATTGAATTAATTTTTGTACTAATTAAGCCACACCAAAAAAGAGTATCCACTTTAACGGTACTACAATCTGTCGATACCTTTATTTTGGCATTGCACAAGGTCAGGTTTTTTCTTTGACTGTTAATGACGTCTTTACACTTAAACAATTGGATGTTGGATGTGTGCTGATTGATATTTTATTCTTAGATACATGATTTTTTTTAGTTGTTATTGGATTTGAACTAGATGTCAGTAACTGCGAGTACTCTTAGATCTTTATTAAGTGTCCTTTTTGTTGTTAGGGATGAGTGATGGATAAATACCCTGCCACCTCCAGTCTGTGTTTATGTTTGATGTTTTTCTGCTTTGTATCGATCTGATGAGTTATGCCTTTTTCAACTGATTTTTATAGTTTGTTCTTATGTTGTGCTGTTACACCACTATCCAAGGTTAGGAGGAGGGTTGAGCGCTCACAAACATGTTTAACCCTGCCAAATGCTTTATGTGCCGGTCTCAAGTCAAGAGCCTCTAGTTCAGTGGTTGTCGTTTGTTCATATCTGTCATATTTGCTTTTCGTTAATTGTTTTGTTATAAAAAAGGCCGTTCTCAATTGAATTGTTTCATATTTTTCATGTCGGGGCCTTTTATAGCCGACTATACGGTATGGATTTTCCTCATTGTTGAAGACCGTACGGTTGCCTATAATTGCTTACATTCACTTTATTTGAACTTTAGTGATTCGTTGTCACATTGGCAATCATACTTCATCTCCTTATTTCTATATTGTATGCCATGCGTTGCTATCTATAATAATGCACTTATAATTTTTTTTTTAATTTGACAAAATACAAGATTTCTTGTATGAGTGAGTGATATCCTTTAACACACGAAGAACTCACTATTTTATCACACTTTGACTGACACTGATGAAGGACATTTGAAGTGCCGAAATATCTATGAATACGATTTCATTTCATCTTGTTAGTATATTTTCATCTTTTATCAATACCCCTGCAATACCTTAAGACTTTATAATTTTGTTTGTCTGTATTCTAGAGATGTCGTCGTTAGACGGTCCTATATGTATTAATTGTGCTGTTTCGTTATGTTCTAAATACTTATATAACCATTCACACAACATCTTCCCACTACAAGAGCTTGGGGCATGGACCTCCAATTTTTTTTTTTTTTTTTTTTTACTTTTTTTCTGTAATTTTTTTTAATATTCTAACTAACTTTCACTTATCAAATTTGTTCTTGCTCTTATCGATACGATATAAAAAAATATATGGACATCATAAGTCAAGCACTATACTTTTGCGTTAAATAAGAAAAAGTTCGTTGATTAAATGTTGATATTTCCTTCTTCTAAAATTGTTAAAGATTCTTTTTATTAAAAGTAAATATTTCTCAAGGTATCATGTAGTTTTCTATCATCATAAATAGTTATTACAATGTGGCTGAAAGGTATACATCTTCTTCAGAGCTACACACCCTTGTTAACCTAGATATTTGTTAGAGTTTCATCGATCTTTAGTTTTCTTTTTGTTGTTGTTAAGGCTTTTTGGCTTCAATTTTACCCTTTGCATCTACTTACTTTTCAGTAAATTGTATTTCCCAAATCATGTATTATACACAGCGAATTAAAAAACAAAGCGGGTTAATTTATATTGCAGTTGTGTTCTATACGGTCGCTGACATCGCTGCATTATTAGTAAATCTATCTTTTGGCACTCTTCCGTGGAACAAAATGTCATAACTTGTTTTTCCCAACGTTTAATAGTTTTAGTATTATAATCTATTTTGAAGCTGTTACATTTATTTTTTTAGACAACTACATTTACAATATTTGTCCATTTGTGACATATAATGAGATAACTGAACGGAAAGAGTAATAGATAAAATTGGACATAAATGATACGAAGACCACTTAGTTAGATAATTTGAAACAAAAACAAAATGATACTACTTATGTGTTTATTCTGTCATATTTCGTTTTTTTTTTTTTAATTCTAAAAATTGTAGTAAATCGTGATGTTTTCAATCAAACGTCTAACCAGGTTTAAAATAATCAAGATATTTCTTCTATATTAGCGGATATAGAAATTCAGTGTAAATTTTTAAATTTGATCTGCCTATTTATACTTATAACTCATCCTACAAATTTGAAATATTCAGATACTATATAATAACAAATCAAATATGATCAAATATTACTTCGTGTCAATTTTGTTGTTTGATCCGAATCCCCAGAATTATCGACCTGCGTATGGTAAATAAAGAGCACACACAAAAATCAAAAATTCACGGTGCAGCCCCGCTGTACAATTAATTCCGAACGTTGTGCATTTGGAGCGTGCCGCGAAAGGTTTAAATACTAGTATTACATTGTAAAAAAGGACTAGACATGTACACATTTTATACACTAAAAAGTATTATAATAGAAAAACGAAGGATATGGGGTATCCATCCATGACACAAAATCAGTACATGCAACAACAACAAAAACAAAAACAAAAACAAAAACAAAAAACAAAAAACAAAAACAAAAAAAACAAAAACACAAAAACAAAAACACAAAAAGCAAAGGAACAGCGCACAGCGCTTTTATTGCTGATCTTCATCTCAAAGTCATACACGTTTAGTGTTTATTAAGTTATCAATTATATAATCAAGATCAATAAACATATTGCTTATTGAATCTTTTTTTTTCTTAAAACAAAATGTTATTAACATATTTACATTTGTTAATAGATATATCAAATACCGGTACTTTATCCCGGCCTCGTTAACATTATGATAGAGCATAACTTATGATTAGTTGTGCAAGTACACACATTTTCATTAATCTGGATATGATTTATGTCTTCACCTGAATAATTTTATTTCAATCTAAAGGACAAAATAACATGCCAAATCAATACTACTGGGTTGAACATACTATGGAAAACTATGGATTTTCGAACTCGTCCAAGACATTGATGAACCTATGATATAAGTTTCATAAAAATCTGGCAAGAATTGTTAACATAAGAGCGCTAACGATGCAATTTTCAATATAATCAATGTTTCCAAGGGGCATTACTCTTTTAAAAATTATTGATCTGCACTGATTTTCGAACACGTTCAAGACATTGCTTGTATAAACCTATGATATCAGTTTCATAAAAATCTGGTAATAATTGTACAAACGAGAGCGCTAACGATGCAATTTTCAATATAATTTATGTTTCCAAGGGGTATAACTCTTTTAAAAATAATTGATCCGCACTGATTTTCAAACTCTAATAAGATATTGATGACATAAACCTATGATATAAGTTTCATAAAAATCTGGCAAGAATTGTACACGTGTGAGCGCTTATAAGACCTAACGAACAGCGCCAGCACGGACGGACGGACGAACGGACGCCCGGTATTTATATGTCCCCAGTAATGCGTGGCGCGGGGGACAACAACACCTTATAAATTTCATGCTCTCGAAGTGCTTTTCCGAATTTCTTTCATCCAGAACGCTCAAAGCCGAATATTTGAAAGCCAAGGATGTATGAGAACCGAAACATTTGAAGAGCTATATGACC